AAAGGAATTTGCGAACTCCTTTGGTTGAAGAAATTGCTTACAGAGATTGGATATGCACATACATTAGGAATGCATCTACAGTGTGATAACAAGGCTTCAATATCCATTGCACACAATCCAGTCCAACATGATCGCACTAAACATGTTGAAGTGGATTGACACTTCATTAAAGAAAAACTTGAAAATAAAGAAATTCAGCTTCCGTTTGTCAAGTCCGAAGACCAGCTGACAGATATTTTGACAAAAGCAGTTTCTAGCAGAGTATTCCACAACTCACTGATCAAGTTGGGCATTGGTGATATCTATGCACCAACTTGAGGGGGAGTGTTAGCAATATTGGCATCTTGTGCAATTGTCATCTTGTGAAACACAAAGACATGAAACACAAGACAATCCTTGTCTCATGGCACACTTGTCTCATTCCTTGTTTTAGGGAATACTTTTTCTTGAAGTATGTAATCCTTGTCTTAGGGAATGTTTCATGGAATGTTTTAGGGAGAACTTTTGTATTAGTATGGGATAATTACATGTATAAATGTTTTGATGTGAATAAAATGAACACAAGTTGAAATCAGAAAAATATGTGTAGCTTCCAAATTCTCTGCACTCTCCATTCTCTCTACTCAACCTTCAACATATCCTCCAAAATTTGACAGAATCATGTGGAAATTAAAAAGCTTATCTAAAAGTCATAATTTTTAGAGGTGTTTGCTTCATCATCAGTGTGATGTAATTATAAATTGACTGGAGTGTTTTAAGGTAGCGGTCCTCTAAGCTGACAGTCAACAAAGGGAGTTGAGAGAGGTGTTTTCTTTTTCCTCAGTTTTTCAATATTTACACCTACAGAGGGTTTTGAGACTTTTAGTCTGCAATGATACAAGAGTACGGTTTTATACAACCAACCAAGTGGAGACGAAGATGACCAGAAAAGAAGATGGTATCCTATCCATAACTCTCATTAATACAAGAGAGTGATGTGACCACAAGCAAAACTACCTAATTAAGCCGGTTGTAAATTTATTAGGTATTGACGTCACGAAACTGCAGAAGATTCAACCCAGACCCACAAAGGAGA